GGGTGCAGCAGGGGTGCCGGAGCCCAGCTGCCCAGAGTTGGGGGGCATGAACAAGGTGCATGCTGGGCCGGGTGCAGCAGGGGTGCCGGAGCCCAACAGCCCTTCTGATCCCCAGTCTTCATGCAGGTGGCCTCAGAGAAGTATGAGGCCGGGGAGCGAGCGCTCCGTGAGGCCCGCCAGGTGCAGTCGGAGCACCAGGTGCGGCTCCAGCAGGTCCAGCAGCAGCAGGAGCGGCTACGGCAGCAGGAGCAGCACGTGCATCAGGCAAGGCGCTGCCTCACTCTACGCCCACCACCCAGGCCCCTTCCCCGGCCTCCTGGCCTCGCTCACCACTGCCCTTCCCGCTCTGGCCCTGGGGACAGGAACATCTGAGCCTGGCCCAGCAGAGGCTGCAGCTGGACCGCGTCCGGCAGGACCTGCCTTCTGGTATCACAGGGCTGCTCCCCAGGCTGCAGGATCTGGCGGCCCCGAGCCTGATCGGTGAGTGAAGTGTGTGGGCCCAGCAGCAGCAGAACCTGCCCTCGTCCGGCTGCAGAGTGGTAGCCTGCTGGGCTCCAGGCCTCAGCTCGTTGGCGCCTCTCAGCAATACATGTTAGAGAAAAGTGTCCGGAATATACCACGCTCCGCCCAACCCCGGAGAACACACGTGGTGTGGAAGGCTGCAGCTTTCTGCGTGTGTGTGGGTTGTTTCTTGTATGTGTGAGTGGTTTTAAAAACAAAAATGGGATCATACAATGTTTGGTAAGTGGGGATTTTTCATTCAGTGATATACATACAGAGTCCTTGGCTGGTGCACGTCGTTAACGTGCTTGGTTAGTAAGGGAAAGTTGGAAGTTCAAGTCTACCCAGAGCTACCTCTGAAGAGAGGCCCAGCAGTCTACTTGCTAAAAGCCATCGAGCCGGAGCCCCATGGAGCGCGCTTCTACTCTGACACCTGGGCTTGTGCCGGGTGGAGTCAGCTCGACAGGAACAGGGTTTAATGGGAGCCCAGCACTTCGTCGTCGCTCTGATTGACCTGATTTTCCATCACGGTGCCCTTCCGGTGGCCTGAGCTAAGCAGCCCCTCAGGAGAACGTCTGTATTTCATCTTGACCAGAATAGATCCTGGGAGCCGGCTGTGGAAGCATGTGAGCCCTTTCAGAGTTGTGCCCTCTGGTAGGGAGAAGTCTGACCCGCATTTTCTTCCACTTCCTTCAGCCCCTCCAGCCACTGGGACCCCTGCTACCACCAACCTTGACTGTAGCCGTCCGGCGGCCAGCCTGGGCCCTGCGCACCTCTACGCCAAGCTGGTGCTGCTGAAACACACGGCCGAGCAGGTGAGCTTCTGGAAGCAGAGAGTCCAGCCCAGTCCTCCTGCTGGACAGGAAGTCCTGTGCTCACTCTGATGACAGACATTAAAGCCGGGGGCACACCTGGCTCCAGGGCAGGCTGCCACCACCTCCTGGAGGAGAAGGTGGATGCACATTGCTTGGTGACCGTCTGCTGAGACCTGTCCATCCCCTTGGCCAGGTTCTGGAGCAAGCAATTGTCACTTAACCCTGTAATGTGAGCCTGGCAGTCACCTCTTCCTGACCATTCCCGGGCCCCAGACCCTATATGTAGGCAAAGCTGTCATCTCCACCTTCCAGATTGGGAAGTTGAGGCTTAGAGAGGTGACATCATCTGCTAAGAACACAACTCAGAAGAGGCCTCCTCAGGACCAAGAGTCCCTTGCTCCCATGAGCCAGGCAGCATCAGGGAGGGCTGCCCAGCGAGCACCCCGTGGTACCCCTTCTCACTCAGGCCCCAAAGCCAGCTCATACACACACACCTGGGGCAGCAGAGACGGTTCATGGCCTCTGTCTTTCAGGACCGAGACTTCTTGGAGAATGAGCAGTTTTTCCTGGAGACCTTGAAGAAAGCGCCCTACAACGTGACGTCCCACTCAGCCTGAGGTGCAGGCCTGGCACGCTGCTCCCACTGCTGACCAGCTCCACACAGAGGACACTACCTGCCACCTGGTGCCAGGGAAGGTTCCAGATGCCCAGGACTCAAGTACAGCTCTTCCTGTGACGGAGTGCGGGCACTTTCTTTTGAAGCATCTCAGTCAGGAACAGGGAGCCCCTGGGCTCCAGGACCCGCTAATGCAGAGGCCTTAGGGTCAGCGTGGTGGTGAGGGTGTGCCAGGCGCCTTCAGCAACAGCTCCAAGTCCCCTTCAAGGGTCTGACCACTGCCTGGGCCTTGTGAATAGCCCCTTCTCGACGGGCATGCCGTCTGAGACGGCCTCTTGCCAGGGCCTGAGGAAGGGGCTGCTGTGTGGAGGTCTGTGAGGATTCCTGCACCCTCCTCACCCCAGGAACGGGCAGTGATAACAGGAAGCTTCTCCCAGAGGAGATGTCGAGCAGGCTCTGGGAGGGGCAGCGAGGGTGTGCCCACCAGCTGTGTCCACCCACTTCCTGTGCTCCTGGAATGCCACCAGCCCTCCCTGTCCCAAGTTTTCTGGCGGGACACCATTCATTCTAGGCAATGCCTGAGGGGTCGACTAGCCTGACACAGCCACCAGACGTGCGATGGGGACTTCAGGATGGTGGCACAGCCTGGGTTTCACAGGAGAGAAAGCCTCTCAAGGAACCTCACGTGCATGGAGTCATGGTGTGCTGGCAGTGAGGGCGGGCACTCCAAAAACTCTATCCTTGGGAAACCAGGAGGGCCATGCTATCCAAAACCGTGCCACCCACAGGTGCCTTCTCAGCTCATCTTGTGAGATGTGTGCCCAGGACAGCTGGGAGAGGCCAGAGGGAGAGGGGCCCAGGGCATTCGCAGTCATCTCCACAGACCCACAAACAGATGCCTTCAACCAGCAAAATCACTGGAACTTCCAGAGACACTTACATCAGAGCCCACTTTATCATCTTCCAGCAGAGAGACAATTGCCCCCTTTCAGAGAGCCTGGGTTTATTCACCAACAGCTGATGGCTTTGTTTTGGGCCCATTAAATTTCTGTAGTCTCAATGACTGAATTTTAACAATTTGCAGGATCTTACTGAAGTTTGTAGGGAGCCCTGGCAATGCAGTGGTTAATCCCCTGTGGAACGCCAGCGCCTGGGTTGACAAGGGTCCCTCCCTGGGACCCTGGACGACCCATTGGCTTACTTTCTGTAGTATGTTGGAAGGACTGGGGGCTGAGTTGGGTTTACAGATAAGCAGAAGAAGATGTAAACACAGAAAGACAAGAACAGAGCCCTTCCAGGCCCAGGCCAACAAGCTGCTGTCCTCTGGGCAGAAATGCCACAAACCTGGGGGCTCCTTAAGAGCAGGGCAAGGCCCCACGTCTGCTGCTTGTAGTTTGTATGCGTGTGTGCTTGCTCTCATGGTTCAGTGCTTGTTTGCTGAACGGGGCACCTTGCTTGTTGCTGTGACACTGGAACCTTTATCACTCGTATTTCACATCCCAGCAGGGTCCCCCGTGGTGGACAGGTTTCTGGGGGCTTGTAGACAACAGAGTAAGAAGCAGGACTGGCCATCCACTTCTGAAAGAAGAGGCTTTCAGAAACCTTATGAATATTAGGAAAGTTGTTAGGAATAGTACCAGAAATCAGAACCTCACCAATTGGAAGGCACTAAAAAAAAATTAAAACAGACACAAACATCCATTAGTAACTGGGACATGGAATGTCTTAAGTATGACTCTAGGAAAATTAGAAGTTGTGAAAAATGGAATATATAAAGATCTACCTCTGAGGCATTCACTGAGAAGAATTGGTGTTGGCTACTTTGAAATAGACAAGTCATATCTATTGTGCCAAGAATGACAAATTGCAGGAGAATGGTGTTGTATTCATAGGGGAAAAAGACCACTTCTGTGTCCTGAAGTGCAGTGCTACGAGTGAGAGCTAGGATACTATTTGTATGGATACAAAGAGGATCTGCTAGTAGAACCAGTATTCATTCAAATGTATGCATCAGTCCCCGTGGTTCACAGCTGTTCTGTGATCGCAGGATGCAGAAGGCAGAACCTCACGAGAGATGATTAAAAAGGGCAAAGGACCAAGGGCTCTATCAGGCGAATGGCAAAACAGAGCTGTCCTGTCCTCTCGTTTATTACAGAAACAGCCATGTTGTTGTTGTTGTTATGTGCCGTCGAGTCGTTTCCGACTCATAGCGACCCTATGTACAACAGCCCTAAACCCT